ACAAAATTCTGAAAAAGGGAACAAAAAATAATAAATAAATAAACTGTGATTGAGAGGGGGAACTCAGAGTAAATTAATACATTTCTACTTGTTATGAAACTGTGGCGATGAACTAATGTCGATAATAAGAGTATCAACAATCATATGAATTCCATGGCTTCCATGTGATAGGAGTGGAAATACTTTTGGTATTGCCGCCGAAATTTGATTTATGCCCAAGATTTCAGAAAGAAACTAAAAATCCAAAATATGTAGCAATTTGATAATTTCTTGTGTTTTCAATAACAGACATATCTATCATGTTCTTTAAGTCTAAATTTTTGAACGAGTCTAGCAAATATGCCAGTCTAGCCAGTGGATGCAACCAATATTGCACTGATATTGAATGCGGCAAATGCTCCAGCGATTATCAAAACTGATAGATCAAACTAACTTCCCTTTCACAGCATGAAATGAAAATGGGCGTTTTTTACTAGAATGCTTAAAAAATGTCGAGTATTATTTCCTATTCGTTTACTTTTTAAATTAAATAAAGTTTTGAATCAAAAGTAGTATCTTAGCGTTACTTGCTTTGAAATAACAACTATAATCATAATATTTAAATATATAAGACGCATTTTATTTTAAAAAAAATCTTTTTAACCAAACATAATCTTCGACTGTTGCTTTTACTAAGTACGCCTGAGTCAAGTATACAGAATTCAGCTTGCAGTTAATCATTTAAAGCTGATGGAGATTCTAATTAGGTTTCGGATGTTTCAACAGATAACTCAAGAAACTACATTGACTTAAATTTTGCCAAAGTTTCCGCTAATTAATTTTATTTTAAGTGGTAAAGTGCCTTGAAAAAGAATTAAAAATAAATTAAATTATGCAGCCCATTTGTGTGAGTAATAAGATTTCATTGGATTTTTCAAATTTTCTCGAATTCTTATATAATTGAAAGTATAAGAATTTATAAAGTTTTACAGTTGATTGCAATAGTTTGCTATAAATTATTTAGGTGTAAGCAATTGATTTTTCGAAATTTAAAATAAAATATAACTTTTAAAGTAAATCATTATTTTTTTTTATATTGATCGAATGATTTTTTTTTATTTTTTGTTTTTTATTATTGTTTTTATTAGTACAGACGAAATTAAATAAAATCATAATTCCTTACAACAACTTTAAATTCAGCTTCATACAGTGTAAACATAGTATGAAACAATTCAGATTGTTATATGATTCAATTCTTTTTAGGCAAATAATTATACAGGGTTATTCATAATTCCCTCCGGGGTTTCGAAGCGTTATAGTAAAAAAAAGAAGACGAATATGAAAAAAGGAAACATATAAAATTATTCCGAAAATATTCAAGTTTTACTTACATACATAACAAATGTTCTCTGTGTGAATCCTTGGTCACACGGCATACATCAATGCAATAGACCAGTTCCTGCCCGGAGGGAATTATGAATAACCCTGTATATATATATTATAAAGATTTGATAAAATATGCGTGAATAGTTTCTGAACTATATATTCTGAACTATTTTTCGTAATTTTTAAAATCTTTGTTAATATCTGTCATTACAAAATATTTCTATTTTGAATGAGCTCCTTTACAAAAAAGATCCGTACGAAAGTACTTATTACAATCTTTATATACAATATTGAACATAAATAATATATTTTCCACATGTACGGTGCTTTCTTTAAAACGGTGCATATTGATAATCCAAATTAACTATCCTTGTGCTAAGTATAGCATAACTCAACAATATATACATTTTACAAAAAAGTATTTCGATCATAAATTCACCAACAGATAAAAGATATTTTTAAGGAAATGGGAATAATATAAATTATTACCTTTAATTTTTTATTTTTATGTAGAAGTTAATAAAAATTTATGGATATATATAAATATTATAACTGCTTACAAATTCTTGTGTACTACAATGATACACAACTCACATGATTTTGATTTCAATTGATAAAAAATCCCCGATTTCTCTTCTCTGAATTGCTGTCTTTACTTGTGGAAGTTTAAAAAGTTGCATTTTTTTCTTAAGAAAAATTCAATTACAATGATATACGAGGAGGTTGAGAAAATAATAGAAACATTTTTATATTAATACATTTTTTGTACTTCTCAAAAATTACTTAAGGACTATAATTTTAAACTTTAGAATTGTTTGGATCATTCGATTTTTCATATTTATCAAAGAAGTTGGAGGGACCGACATTAAATTAAAGACGGAAAACAGTATTTTTGAACACCCTATGCCACCAAAAAATTAAGCAGTAAACGTCGTAAGCGTAGCTTAAATATTTATGGAAATATGGACACTTTTATATTGCATTAAAATTCGAGAGAAATTCGTCGAAAACTACGCAAGGTATAATTAATTAATGTAGTTTTTTTATACTGCGCATGTGCGTAAAAAATAAATATTTTTTTCATAATTTGGTAGAGAAACGTGATTGGAAACTAATAAAAAAGTTCGATTTGAATATTTTAGAACTGTAAAAGGTTTCAAGCAATTTTCAAATTAGTTTTTGAACATTTTAAAAGGAACTAAAAAGGATAAAGGGTTTCCACAATTTTTTTTGTACTATTAAATGAGAGTTATTAAAAATGGCACCGTCATTGCTGGAGATCATCGTCATAGAAAAGGTCATTCTTTTGCCTTTTTTCCTTCCTTATATTATCTTATTACTGTGTATAGACGTTTATTGTAAGACATTGTCATTTATTATTTAAATTTGTCGTGTAATACAAAATAATACTTGAAGAAAACGCCTTATCATTTTGAGTTTTTCTAAAAAAGTGCAAAAACTACTTAAAAAGTTAAGTAAAACTGTTTAAATTTTAAAAATATTCAAATCAGACTTTATTAGTTGCCAAATACGAATCGCCACGAAATAAAGTAAAAAAATCCGTGCATGCGTACTATAAAATAATTATTTTACTTACTCATATCTTGCGCAGTTTTTATTGAAGCTTTCTCAAATTTTAAAGCAATAATTTTTTAACTAATTTAAAGTGCTCTTAAATTTTTTGTTCTTAAATTTAAATTTTCTTACATTTTTTAAAGTTATAGCAAAAAATTTCATAAAAAATTGTTTTTTTCAAACTAAATGTTCATATTTACATAAATATTTAAACTAGGCTAACAAAATATCGAGCAATTATTACATATAACTAATATAATTTCTAGACTTTACAAATTTGTTGCTAGATATCAGAGGGTGTTCAAAAACACTATTTTAAATTTGTAATTTGTAGTTGGTCTTTCAAACCACTTAAAGAGTTAAATTTCATTGACAAGTAGGAAAATCGCATGATCTAAACACTTCTGAAGTTATAAAATGATTATTTAAATATTTCTGGAGAAATATGGAAGCATGCTTTAGTATAGTATAGAAGTGTTTTCATTTTTTTTTGACCAAGCCACTGTACTATGTCTGAACAAAAAAAAAACGATTCCTCATAGTTTTATATTTTGTCCAAGCCACTGTACTATGTCTGAACAAAAAAAAAAANAAAAAAAAAAAAAAAAAAAAAAAAAAAAAAAAAAAAAAAAAAAAAAAAAAAAAAACGATTCCTCATAGTTTTAATCTCACTTTTCCGTCTAGATACTTATTTTTGCCCTGCAAAACGAGAACTACATACATACTGTATAATGATAAAGAAAAAAGAATTATATTATTCCGAATATTATTCACGCGAATGTGTTTGCAGACAATAGAACTGAAGAAGGTAACCACTGTCACTAGAATAGTACAAAATGGGATATAGGCTTAGTAGACTAGATGCTAAAAATTATTCTGTAAGAGATGAAAGTTAAAGTTGTCTTGCATTTCTTTAAAACGTTTATGAAGTTACTGTTCTCTGTGCTTAAATTCAAGTTTCAAAAAATCCTTGTTTTCAAGGAATCCTTAGCTACCCCAATTACTCATTGAAATTGTTGAAGAACTACAAATTAGTACTTTGCGCATCTATTAGCCCCTTATTTTCGAAAATCCAGTGTCTAAAAAATAAGAAACATGCCTTTTACCATTTCGAACTACAGAATAAAACAAATGCTAGCAGGGAGAAATGCTAGAAAACAATTTGTGGATTGTCACGTCTACATACTGTGTACGCCTGCACTAATGTCTAACTAATAATGGAACTTAACGATTGTGCTAAATGTTGTTATTGTTAACAATTGTTGCTAATGTGTATTATTTGTATTCACGCCATGCCGTTTATTTTGACGGAAGAATAATCTGTAAGACAATATTACATTACATTGCAATATTGTCAATGAGTTAGAAATAAAATAAAAGTTTCAATCACTAAAAACTTTTACATATTGTATTTTAACAAACATTCATCATTTAAGCATCGATTTCCTATGAGGGTCAAATTGACTGAAAATGGCAGTTTTAGATAAGTTCAAAATTTGGCTGTTCTAGTACTAAATACTTAAGCTGGAACTAAAATCTTAATATGTCTAATTAAATTTGCTTGCCTAAGGTTTTTACAGTATCAATTAATAGTTATTCTAGTAAACGAATGTGATATTACAGATGACCGATATTACCTGTAGACCGATACAATATTATTCAAATTACTTATGAGAGCTATATCGTCACAAGTCACCGACGTAATTTAAAGCAAGGTAAATTTTGTCAAGATTTCTACAATTGTTAATAAAAAATAACATTAATGATTTTAAAACAACTAAAACTTCAAGTGGGAGAACCATTTCCGCAGTTATTTTTTAATCATAGCAGACAAAGATATACTTGCATCAGCGCTTAAAAATATCAGGGACAAATAAATTGTTTTTTCAATCAACACGACATACCATTTAATTATGTCAAAAAATATATTTATGAATTGAAATCTTCAGAAAAGCATTACCATTGAACAATTTAGCTCCTACTTCACTTTATAGAGTAAATAGTTTCGAATTTTTCCCAAAATTAAAAAAAAAGTCCAAAAATTTTAAAAACTGTGCAAATATTTTGTTTCAAGTACTAATTTTTATTTTATTAATATTTTAATGTAAAATTAAATACATTTACAATATTGAAAATCTTGGAAATTTTTTAACAAAGTCCTTTTTTTGTGAAGTCATCAATACAATCAAGCATGCAGGACTAAAAAATAAAGAACAATTGATTATTAAATCTTCTTAATATCGTTTTTAGAAAAATTACATACAGAATACAAATTTATAGAGAATCACTTAAATTACACTAGTATTTACCTGTATTTAAATAATTCTGTATATGATCAAACATGTATTTTTTTATATCAAAACAATACTTATTGTTCGACATAATAACAATTCCTGAAATATAATTTTTGATAACGAACTAGCTGAATATCCGAACTTTGTAAAGCGTGAAAAACGATAAATCAAAATTATTATAGAATAATACTGTGAATCATGCACAAATGTGAAAGACAAATACGGACTTAAATAATAAAGTGAAATTTATTTTATTGTCTTTTTTATTTATTATTATTTGTTGCCCTTTCAATGACTTTACGTTGTTAGATTTTGCATAATTCATTTTCAGTAGCTCATCCCGACGAAATAACAACTTAATCCAGTATCGACTGGCATAATGTTGTTCAAAGTCAAAGTAAAAATTTAAATTTGCCACTTCAAGCCATTTTTTTCTGTTTTCTTATACATTGGAGAGGCCATAATAAACCTATTTTCAAAGTATCTAAATTAAGAATCAGTATTACTACCGTTTTACTACGCCGAAACTGCACATTAAAAAATTCTCAAAATATCTTGTACCTATATTAGCATATTTGCATCATTAGCACCAATAATAGTATGGCATTCCTGAAAGAAATAACCCATTTATTTTTCCAAAAATTTGGCTCTTTATTTTTCATTTCCATCGATAATTTTTATTTTATTTCAATTAACACTTATTAGCAAAATTATTTGAGCATCATTGGAGTAAAAAACGGGATATATATTTTTTTTTCTAAACACCATTAGTACCATTAGTACCAACTATTAGTACCATTCCGAAGGAAAAATTTGTTAAGAAACAACATATAAAAAAAATATTTGAAAAAAATTGTTTCTCATATGTTAAATTTCTGTTTAGTCTAAAGATAATTTTAAAAAAATGATTTCCTTGCTATTTTGCATTGTCTGTGATGTATCTTAAAATTCTGTACAAATTTGTAAGTAAAATAACGACTGTAAAATTAACAATATTATATAACTGATGTTTTGGAAAACATTTTACTGCGAGTGAGCAGAGAATGTTTAGACGGAAAGTCTCTGCTTGCAAAACGATGGTCTTATTTCTTATACCTCAGGAGGAGTTCAAGAGTGATGCAGCAAACATTTAGCTGAATTATATCGTCGAAAAATGAATGAACTCCCAACTCCAATCTTAACCCGCTTGATCACTCTGTTTGGCCACCATGCTCTCCCAACTTAATAACTATAAAATCACCAATCTGAGTAAATTCAAAAATGTAGTTCAAAATATATGCCAGGAGATGACGATGGAAGCCATACTTACGATGGATTTGAGAAAAGATTTAAGCTCGTAAAAGATTAAAGTAAAGGTTATTCAAAAATTTTTTGCATGATTTACTTTGTATTACTTCCTTCCCTTCCTTCTCGCTCCCGTGAAAATGACTTGGTGAAGTTTTGCCCTCTATTTCTCGCTCCCGTGATATTGACGGGCTGGAGTGTTGAGTAGTAGCTCGCCAATAAGACTAAAACTAATTCATTTATTTTGCTCAGAAAATATTTTATTTCTCATTTTACACACCAGAGGGCAGTATCAGGATATTTTTAAAGTAATTGTACATAGTTAGTTTATTTTAAGCTATATGTCAGCACTAACCAAATACGTAATACAAATACAAAAGCCAAGAAATGGGCACTTTTATGACCGTTTTCTAGAAAATTAACCGATCGTAAAGGGGTTAATAAAAATAATAAAGTGTATGAGAACTTATTGGTCAATGTGTATTTTTTCCTCGCAAACCCGTGTAATAAATTGCATAAAACTAGTTATTTGAGTTGTGTAAGTTGGCGTTATTAGGTTTCAAGTTTAAAGCAAAGAAGGCATTATTATATTTTTTTAATAATTGGCTTCTCCATTTTTTTTTTAAATTTTCATATCTGTCTCCTTATTTGGTAACAGACTTAATAAATTTTGCAACAGAAATGACCACATTTACAAGTTTTCACTTTAAGGAATAAAATTTACATATTTATAATATGCATTTTTACATATTTATTATAATATACATTATACATTGTTTATTGAAATAAATGTATTGTGAATTTTACAAACTGAAGTGGCTAATAAAATAAGAAAATTCGACTTTCATTTTATTTTTATCACCTACCACTTCTCAGTGATAGATATAGAAAAGCCACTTGCACGCAGCTGGCAGTGAATTTGTTACGAAGTATTATATTTAAACGTATGACTTTAAACAAAAAACTAAGAATCTCTTAAAACAGCAAAAATAAAGACCCTTACCATAACTTTGTGATAAGTTTCACATTTATCTCGTGTCCATGGGCTAGCGCAATACTCCTGGATAAAAACAAAAAACAATATTGAAATAAACAGATAAATAGAAACCAGATTTATTTTGTAAGTATAGTTTGGGAAAGAACCCATGTTAAATACTTTTAGGAATATCAAGCTTTTAAATTTTATTTCCTCACCAAACTATTGAGGAGAAAGACTCTTAATAAGATTAAACATACTACTATGCATAATAATAGTAAAATTTAATACAGTTATGGAAGAAAAAAAAATTTTTTTTAATCATTAAGATTTATTTAACATTTGAACGACTGGCATCTTTACCTACCCAGAACAACCTGGCGGTCATTTTGACCAGAATAAGAAAATAAGCATAAATATTAGATTTTTGTTCAAATATCATAATGAATAATTAGAGAAGGTAATCTTTAATTATTTTAAGATTATGCAGTATATCTAACGATAATATTTTTACAACAGAACAAATAAACCCTTTTTCAAAGAAAATAATCACATCACAAAAAACAGTTACATATCATTTTTTTTTCTAATGCCCGCCTGTGTTAACATCCGTCAATTCTGGCATCTACAGGGCGATTTTATTGACCTCTCTTACAGGGGCACCATATTAGGTGGGTCAACATCACTCCCACAGTAAGGACAGATAGTACAGAGAAGGAAAGAACATCCATACCTTGCCCGGGATTCGAACCCTGAACCTTTTTGATGCAAGGACAGTTCCATGCCCCTACACAGGCAGGTCGGCGGTTACATACCATTGAAGATAATTAATAAATGATTTGAAATGAAAATTAGTAACCAAAATTTCTTTACATTTTCGGCATGATGTCCACTTTTGTTTTTTTGCTGACTGAAAGAATATTGACGGTGTTTATTACTTGTAGTTTCAAAAAACTCATGAGGGCAAGGAAGAAGTTTCTTTGTAACAATCTAAGTTTGTTGAGGAAGTTCAAAATAAAGGACTATCGAGAAATTTGTGAAAAGTTACACACTTTAAAATAAAATGAGAAAAATTGACAAATTCAGCAAAATTAAAATTTAGAAAATTGAAATTGGCCATATTTTTATAAATTGTCCGTGTTATTTACAATTGGCTTGTTTACCGGAATCCTTCCACGCTAAATAAATTACGCTCTGAAAAAAATTAACATTCTCAGGGGAACTTTTTAAATTAAAACATTTTATTTATTTATTTTATTATTTTTTTTTATTTCCAAAGAGCTGCACAATCAGTCTTGCTGATGAGCAGACCTAGTGCGTTCTCCAGAGGTGGTATCCACTCTTTCTGGACCACCACAATGGGTGAGATACCGTTGGTCATGTTAATTTGGACGTCTAGTTTCTGCCACACTAGATGGCAGCACCGAGACTCTATTTGGAAGCTAAAGTGCACTAGGAATTTAATTTTGTCAGAAATGCCAAGAGCCAATATGGCACCCCAGGGATCTTTTACATGTCGCATAATCATACGACATGGCCGTTGAGGATTTTGTGCATCCCGAATATCCGGTGTCTGGGCCGGGATTGAACCCGCAGATTTGGGCTCAGAAGGCCGACGACAAACCAACTGCGCCACCCAGCCTCTAATTAAAACATATACTACTTAATACTATGATATACTAATTCTTATTAAATATATCACATTTAAATATACTGAAACTTTTCAATTCACAGGTAGTATTTCAGGTACAGACTTTTTAATCAGTTTACATTGGTAGTAATGGTTTGATCCTGTGCCAGAATACTTTTGAAAAAAAGAACAGTACAAAGTAATTGAAGATTTGCTAATTGGTAGATTTTCATTATAATTTTGTCGTATTGTAACAGCTATTGAATTTTCATTTGCCTATAACGAGAAAACGAGTTTTTAGGAAGCAAAATATTTCCAATTGGACATTTCTTTCCAACAAAACGTAATGGCATTTTCACCAAGGTAATTCTGTCGTTGTCTTTTTCTTAGCTATATTAAATTGCGAAAAAAATATTTCATATGAAATTTCACATCCAACCAGAATCGAATATCCCAAAACCAGTGGCCTTAAAATCCACTTTTAATATTTTCGCTTATATTAGAAGTTATAAACGTTTGTATGATTTTACTTAAATAAATCTACTCACTCTAATAACAGTGCAAGGTGTTCCGTAATCATCGCCCTTAATAGCAATTTTTAGAATTCCTGTTTTAAGATAAGAAATTATAGTAAATTTTTGCGTAATTTTTTCTATCTGACTCTATTCCCACGAATGCAAATATACCGTAATCACACTTTGTGAATTAATTACTTTCGCATACCATCTGAGAGGGGACTTATAAACATATCAATCTTTTTTTATATAAATGTTCCCATATTTATTTAACTTGCATAAAAAATAATTCATTAGAACTTCAAATATTATTAGTTACTGAAAACATATTCTACGTTCTTAAACTTATTAAAGAGATTTGTCAAAGTGTATAAAATAAAGCATTCGACAAAATCAGAATCTTTCACTTCAAGCATTTTTATAAATTATATGAAGTCATATGTTCTTTTATATGAATCTGTACGTTTTAATATTAATTTTACATGCTGTATGTCATACTTATATTTTATTTTTCAAGCAGTAAATTGGGGTATGAGAAATTTATTTTTACTGATGTACTAAGTACTCAAGAAAAAAAAGTATGCCATACTTTTCTAAACCCATTCGTTCAACTTCAATTGTAATACGTTCCTAAAACAATCTTTTACTACAAGCATTTTTATAAACTATATAAAGTCATATATTCTTTTATAAGAATCTGTACATTTTACATATATTTTATAAGCTGTATGTCGTACTTATAATTTATTTTTCAAGCAGTAAATTGAGGCTTAAGAAATTTATTTTTACTGATGTATTTTTACTGATGTATGTAAGTCAAGAAAAAAAAGAATGTCTTACGGAGTACTTTTCTAAACCCAATTGTCCAACTTCAACTGTAATTTTTTCCTAAAATATTAAAACGAAATGTAGTACAACAAATAGCATGCTGTTAAAATTATGTAAAATACGATAATACATGATATAACTTCTAAGAGCTAACATGCATTACATAGCACATAGATTAAAATCACAGATATACATTTTAAACAAAATACTTTTTTTCTCCAATTCCTATGTTTCACAACTTTGTGGGGATTTTTATCATAGATTCTTGGAAAAAGGAATTTTTTATTAACTCTTTGCCATTAACTCGAAGATTTGCATCCCGTAAAATAAATAATTTATTATTATTACTTTTAATTTAAATTTATTTCTGGTTGAGTACAAAATACCGGCTGTCTAAAAAATGATCACACTGACGTGGAATTCGATCAATACGCTACCAATAAATACCAGTAATTGGGTCTTTTAAAATTGGTTAAATTTAAATTCTTTTGATGGTGGAAAAACGATTTTCTTTTTTATAAAATTTATTCAAATAGGTATCTCTTCGATGAAGAGCTGCTTTAACTTAAAGTTATTGCTGTGAACCGTGGTTTCACTGTACACCTTGGTTAAAATTAATCTCGTAATCCACCAAACTCGCAAAATAGAACTTTAACAATTTGCATATTTTACCTTATCATTCAGAAATCTGATCTTAAATTTCTACTATTTCGTATAAATTTGAGTTTTTCCCCTGTAAATAAACTAAATTTCACCATTCTTTAAAATGTTATTGCTGATATTAATGGCTGGTATATTTATCGAATTCTGTATCAGTGCGGCTTAGCGTACATTAGATAAACTAAACGTACCGTTAAGATTCTGCCTAAAGAACACGAAAGATACGTCCAAAATCAGAACATTAATGACCCATTTTCTACACAGCTAAAATTCAAGTTACTGGTTTGAGTTTCCTCTTACTAAAATCATTCAGCTCCTTACCTTTTTCTTTTTACTCATCTGCTCCTTACCTTCTGAAAATGATTTTAGGGGGTCATTCTCAATTTCAAAAAAATTCTAAGAATTTAGTCAATGATAGTAGATAACTTTTGAGTGTCCTACCGTTTCCCGATAATTGTAAGTCAATTTTAATTATATCTGCTGCACTGTGGGGCTCACGCCAAGAACTTCACACGCCACTGTTTTACTAATTCAATACCTGCTTTTTTCTTTATCTTTCCCTTGTTATATCCTTGTACGAACTTGTTCTTCTGTCCCTATTGTTTAAACTACTTTACACGCATGCGTCTCTATACTCCTTTACCTTCAAATGAAATCTGGACTATAAAGAAAGTTTTCTGTTTATTGAACTTAAACTATAGTACATCAATTTATGTACTATTATCTGTGCTTTATCCAGGTTCTTTTCAACTTAATTTCAAGTTTGGTGATGGGTTGCCGGTAAGAACAGCGGATATTCATCGTTTTGGAGAACCACCACCTGGAACACACTTGCGCACGGACAATTCAAATTCTTAAAGTATTTATTTGTATATTAAAAGGCCACTAATTAGTTGAAAATTTTACCTGACATGCAATTTTGTGGAAATGAAATACTTCAGTTCCTAACGCATATTGCCGCAAACCACATTTTTCTTAAAATGAAGTTCTGATCGGTTTATTTATTGGTCTTTAAAATTTATCAGTCAGTTTCAGGACACAAGAACTACTGCGATAAGTGTAAGAATCAAACACAAAAGAATAATCAGATCCTTTGTTAAGCAAATAGTGTGAAAGGATGAAACTATGACAAGCTATGGAACGATGAAACTATGATTAAACAAAGATTAAATGCTGGAAATCGCAGTTATTTCGCACATAAGAGATTGCTGACATCGAAAGTAATAACGAGGAAAACAAAGCTTCAGGTTTATAAAACTATAATCAGACCAACCGTTATCTATGGATCAGAGACATGGACTCCAACCCAGAAACAAGAAAAAATGCTGATTACCTGGGAAAGAAATATTCTTATAACTATTTTTGAACCTGTCAAAGAGGGTGATCTGTGGATAAGGCGATGTAAGTTTGAAATTGTAAGACTATTTAAAGGGAAAGATATCATCAATTATGTAAAAGCAAAGATAATTCAATGGCTAGGAGAGCTTGAGAGAATGGAGGAAAACAGAGGCACTAAGAAGAAATTCAAGGGGCAGTGCCTGCGCCAAAGGAGAAGAGGAAGACCGGCCAAGAGATGGTTAGACGAGGTGGAAAAATACCTTAAGACCCAAAAGTCCAAAACTGGAAACAAAGAGCTAGAGACAGGCTACTTTGGAGAAAATTGTTAGTGAGGCCATGGTCCAACATGAGCTGTAATGTCAAGGAGTTAGTTAGCTAACTAGTAATGTAATGCAAGTTATGTTGCGTATAATGTGTGCTAGTTAAGTATTTATGTGTTAGTTATCTAAAATTTAGAAGCCAAATGTGTCAATAGATTTAAAAGTTACTTTAAAAAATATGGAAGAAGACAAAATTAGATAGTTTGTGTTGTTCTGTTATAAGGATACGAGATTTTTTCACAAAATTTAAAAATTAAATGCCGAGTACACGTCATGACTATGAAGCTGTAAAATAGTTTTTTTTTTCAATTACATGCAAGACCATTTCAAAACTTTATTATTTCTGCTGGTGTCTGCTATTTCTTCTTAATTTGTCAACATTTATGTTCTAAATTGAAGTTTTATTTTAAAAACATTGTGCCCTCATTTTCTCCAATTAAAAAAGTTTGTCGACGAACTGAAGTACATGATGAGAAGAAATCTCTGGATTTTTAAGCATGACGCAGCAAATCAAACATATTTATATCCTTCAGGTTCTCTTCCTTTTTTAATTAGATTTATCAAAAAGTTAGTCATTTTCAGTTCCTCATAATGGATTTTTGAAATATGCTCCATAGGTCTTTCTTCCTGAATGACCATATATTTTCCATTGAGTATAGTTGGTTTGCGATCCCTCTTGAACGCAATGGGATTTAAATCATATAATCTGTGTTATCCAGAGAAAAGAGGAAAAAAAAACATAATGTACAAGGAAAAGAGTGAAATAAAGTTTTTGATTCTCAGAATTCATAATTAACTTACTGCACAATTTTTAATATTTTAAAATATCACCTATAAATTCTCTTAGAAATACAGCATTGCTTTGAGTTCTTTATAGACCAATAAAATATGATAGAAACAATTTACATCGTATAGTCATATGTGAAAATCATATTGTTAGAAAGGTTTCGAAGACGAAAAAAAAGTTGTTTCATTATTGGTTATTATTTTATTATTATTATTTCAAAACCTAAAGGAAACAGTACACGTTCAATATAGATCAAATTTAAAATGACTTATAACTCAGATATGATGATAGTAATTTTTCATTAAAATGCCATGACAGCAAATTTTGTATTCATTTCACACTAAGATATGTTTGGAAGATAATTTTTTTTTAAGAAACATTTAGTTTGGAAAGAGTAAAGACGCAGAATTTACCGGATTTTCTTACCTGGAGTTCGTTATCCTCTTTACAAAATTTTTGAAGAAACACATCCACGTCTGTAGTAAAGTCATATATTCCAGAAGCTGATGCTTCCTTCATGCGTTCAGCTTTCTCCTGAAAATAAATTTTACTAGTTTATTAGTTCCGAGTAATACTATTTGAATTAAAATTTGCGGCTTTAAAAAAAATACAGTCCTACATATTATAAAAATATTTCATAATAATCTGAAATCTAATCCGATTTGAGCAGTGATCATTATGTCAGCAGAATGCTCTCGATTTTAATATATTAAAACTAGATTGAGACACTGACATAGTGAAGCAGATATTTTACTTTTTTAAATCTAACATAATTGCAAAAGTTGGCAAAAGTTGACTCAGCCCTTCATCCCTTCAGTGGACTGATAAATTAGTACCAAGCATGCTTGGGAGCTAAACACTGGGGCTTCCGCATTCGGCTGACCATCTGACCGGAACATCTGCTCCTGCACTCTAGAGCCCAAGATGAAGAAGACTGAGATGGGGACAGTAGACCTTAGCCCTCTGTAGGCTGTCGAGCTAATGAGTTTAGTTTAGTTTTGTTTAAAAATTATTAAAAATCTTAGATGAAAAATAATTTGTAGATTCATTAACAATCTGCAGCGTCCACTATCGCGCTGCGTGATTTCTGCAAACAGGAAAACCATAACTGATTTCCATGGTCAATTCTAAACGAAGAAACATTTATTTTTAAGTTTATGGAAGACAAAGAGTGAATTAAAGTGAAATTACCTTCAGATATTTGAACTAGCTGAAACTATTACTAATCAGTGGATGCGAAATTATAATATGATGGAAAAAGAGTTTTCCGTAATACGCCCCTTTGAAGTACACTTTACGAATTTTTGTAAAAAAAAAGTAGCAAATAAAATTTTTTGATGAGCAAACGAAATACTATTTCACATCCTGAATAACTTTTGAACTAATGATCTGACATCTAAATATGCTAGTTAATTAGTGCCAATGATATTTGAAGTAGAGAAATCAAATGGTATGATTTATAGCGTAAATTCTTATCAACAGATTTGGACTTGTTAATTCAAATTATGGTAGGTAGATCAATAAAGAAAAAAGAAATGATAATTATTAAAGAAAATACTTTAAAAAGAATTGTCTTCTTAAAAACGAATTTTATGAACACATACATTCCTTTTATTTTTACCAGACTATATTTCAAAGATTGCAACTACCGCTACCTCCATATTTTGATGGTAAGGGAACCAAATATTTTAATAAAAATAGTTTTTCATCGAATAAAACACATTTTTGTGACCTAAAATATCATCTCTTATCGTCTCCCAAAATATCGTCCATAATTCTGTGACCAAACATTATTCGTCCAAATATCGTCCCAAATATATCGTCCAATATTCTAAATAGTTAGTTTAGACGATCTTTTAAAGATCGTCTAAACCAGGGGTCGCCAAACTTTTTTGATCATCGACCCCTATATAATTTTTCGAAATCTCCATCGACCCCCACAAAAGTAATTTTCTGTTAATTAAAATAAAACTCTATTAGATACTGTGTTTGTACATTTATTTTATGATTTTAAACATTTATTAAAGTAATAGTACATTGTGTAACAATAGTTTTATGAAAAATATATTAATATTGAAATTTAAATACCTTATTATTAAATAATAAGTAATTATGCATAAGTAGATATAATAAGTAAAGTAACTAAAGATTTACTGCTTCTTGATCAATGAGATGGGTGTGCCTGGTGTTTTTTTGCAAGGTTCGCTATATTGGGTTCAAAATTGGTCAATTTTAATTTTCGTCAAAATTGGTCAATTTGGTAATTTTCCTAAAAAAAATACAAAGTGTACTATAGTTTTGTCGCGGGCTGTACTAATCCATATTATTAATGCTTACCTTCTTTTTTGTGCACTGATAATTAGAATTGATATCTAAACCAAACAAATGGTTTTATCGAAACAATAACTAATTATCCAAAACTATAAAAGTTTTAATAATGACACTACAAATATTCAACACAGTTTTCAAAGATAGTTGAAACTGCATATGATATTTGCATTTGTAACGTCAATGCTCGTCACACGTGACATTTGGACAAGCGCACATATGCATATGACTTATAAACTGCCCTGAGTTCGTGCCACTACGCTGTGGTACGTAAATACTTGTTTCACCCCAATAAATATACGTTTATTAATTTATGTTTTATAACGAAACTGATATTGAGTCAATTATTAAAAAAAAAATCACAAATTTTACGTACTTAATTAGGTATGTGTGATTTGCGTATTGAGAACTGTTTTTTTTCTCGACCCACAATCGACCCTTCCGATTCGGATCGACCCCTATTCGCCCCCCTGTCTCAGATAGACCCCCGCTTTTGTTAAATAGACCCCTAGGGGTCTATATAGACCACTTTGGCGACCTCTGGTCTAAACTAACTATTTAGAATATTTAATGTTAGGCCTAACAAACATTAAGATTGAATCGTAGAAACTGAACTGATCATCAGTATGTTCAAATAGGCCTATAACTTAAAATAGCGAAATCATTATCGAAATTTTACGTTTTTTTAATGAAAAATCTTAAATCTACCATTTTTGTTGGCGGAGAACTAAAATCTCGGACACTAAAGGAAAAACAAAGCAAAAGAACATGTTGCATAAATAATGATTTTTTCTTAATTTAAGTAAAAACTGTCTAGTAAGTTGAAGCTGTATGAATAATATTTATGTTTAATAAGTTTTCAGAAAATTATATTGCGAAATTTTTTGAGTTAGATTCAAGATTAGATGGAATATCTTTTGTTCAAACATACAATAAGAAGGAAATCAAAACTTATCATTATGTTTGCTAAAAAACCCAAATTATATCTAGTTTCTACATTTATAGTAAAAATTAATATTAAAACAAAAGTAAGTTTAATTAAAATTAAATAAAATAATAATTTTTTGCTTGAATTCCTTTATGTTTCGTTGTTGTGAAAAGTCTTAAGTGACGTCATAGCCGGATATTTTTGGTTTTAATTTTACATTACAGTTAATTTTACAATAGCACTTCGAAACGTATAATTGTGCAGATATAATTAAAATGCTTTGGAAATTCGATCGAACAAATGATTTTAAAGTTAAATATCTGGAATGATTAAATAATCCAGTTTTGACCTTCTTTAGACGATACGTCTCGGAAATAGTTAAAAGGCGGAGAAGTTGAGTTTCGTATTTAAATTTGACACGGACTTTTACTTTTAAACTTTTTTTTCCAGTTACAACATTTTTCGTAGACATTTCCTTCACTAAAAACCATCATTCTGCTCCTGAAGGAAACAAAAATATTTCTTACTTGACATCTTAATTTGTATTGCTCAAATTTGATTAGATATCAACATTAACAAACGAGAAAGATAGAGAAGATAAGCGCTGAGAGAAAACGAATTGCTGTTCATAAATTTTAACTTTTAATTAGTACAAGTAGACCAGACGTAGTTAAAAATACTTTTTATACTTTCGAAATCACAATTTTTTTTCATTTAATTTTTTCACTTTTTTGCTTGCAATGCATAGAGAAATATTACGGATTTTTTTAGCATTTATAGACAAAGCTCAAAGTTTAGTGACATAATTATACTGCCCTGTCGTACTGTAAGTTATACTGTAATATTTTATGTTGACCAGTGTTAAATTAAATGATACAATAAAAAGTTTTTAATTTGAACATTATTGGGTTATATATTATGTATCTGATAAGGATTTTTCTTTGAAATCATTTTAACTTCAGTTGAAATAAATAAGTATTAGAAAATAAAAGCTTCTTACTGGATCTGGAATCGGATCATAGCAGCTGCGCAGTTTCTTATGATTTGCTTCATCTAAAAAAAAAAAAATTGATACCTCAAAAAGGCCTTGAGCTTCTAAATATGGAGTTAATTCAGTTCTTATTGCTAGGAATTTCTAAACGTATGTTTCATTTTATATACAGGGTGTTTCAGAAATACTGCACTCCTAAATTTCTCTCTATCTAGGGAACATATTTGCAATTTTTTTTTTAAAAAAAAGACATTTCTTTTGATCAATCATTCATTTTATATAAATTTTTTTAACAAGACGAATTTTTTTCATAGGTTACAAATTTTAAATTTGCATGCCACCCCGAAGACAAAAAATGTAATAGCAAAAATTTACTTTCATAGAAAATAATAAAAATGGTAAAATGCGCGTCCTCTAAGCTTAAAAATTAACCAAGATATAGATATTTAAAGTTTATATGCAATATTGAGGGGGGGGCGTATACTTAGTGCAAGTTAGACTAATACACTTAAAGAAAAAAAATGAGTTACAGTGAAAACCGTTTGATAAAAATTAGATTATAATTTAATTTATTTATATTTTTTTCATATAAATGCTTAATGGAGTAAAAATGTATAATATTTGAGAATTACATTATTTTTAATAGTTCAATTATGACAATTTTAATAAAAATTAATTTTTTTTCATTTTCTTTTTTCTTGATATTTTATTATTGTTGAAAATCTGAAGAAAATATTAGTTTTTAAGATACGTGGTAGTTTTTAAGAGATATAGTGGTTTTTGTTTTGTTTTATCATAAAAATACATTAGTAAATGCATAGCCTTCGTGTGTTTCCGCCTAACAAGGAATCACAGAGAAGTAGATGATTTATTGTAATACCAGCCCACACAAAAGTGCACTTTTTTTTCTTTCTTTTTTTAGTTAAATTTTGAAATTTATGAAAACATAAATTAAAGCGAATTTAATTAAATCAAGTAAATAAAACATTGCACTTAGAGAATCAAGTAATACATAAAATTATTGTCCAGCTCATAGAATCTTTCTGCCAACCAGAAGAGAAAGATACGTTTGTTACAATTTGTACACATTTGTTTCTTTTTTTTAACGAGTTTATTTTAACAAATGGCTTTATTTAACAAACGATTCTGATGATTCTGATTCTCATGAAGCATATGATAAAAACGAGTTTTTGACTAACCAGAAAATGATTCTAAAAAAAAGGTCATAGTAAAAGGAAGAATCGTTTGAAGTATAGTAAGCAAAAAGAAAAACAGACCTTCTAAAATAATTTTTGTCTAATAATCGGATGTTCAAGTTCTAGGACTCAATCCTAGTGACTGGAAAAGATGATCTCAAATATGCTACCCCTCCCAAGGACGATCTCAGATATGCTACCCCTCCGAGTGCGGACCCCTCCCAAGTCCTGCTTGCAACCTTACCGGGGCGGGAGGGTGCCCCTGGACGGGATGGTTTTTCTCCTGGTAGGGCCACTCTAGGCGTGAAGGCCATTCCATTGTGTCCAACTAAAGCATGCAGGCACAATGAGGGTAAGTCAGACTTCAGCCCATGCGGTTCCTCTTTTAATTGAAGCTGCTTCTTGCCCATCGCCATGGATCAGTCGCAAAATTGGTTTCTCTGTGAGGCTACTGATGAGTGATTGATTGATTGAATGTAGGGGTTAATGGCACAAAGTCCAAAGAAGGACATGCTGCGCCAAACAAACGGTTTTAAAATGAAGGTAAATGTATATTGCGAATTTTCCTCATTAAAAGTCACACGGAATTTATAAAACTGGATACAACGTGACAGAGGTATTCAAAAGTGAGTAAAATCAAATAAAATGTAAATGTAGTAAAGCATTTCAAAACAGTTACATTCAAAGTTGAATAAAATCAGATAAAATTGTGAATAGAATAAAACAGTTGTATACAGTATAAAAGATCAATTGCGCGTAGAAACGCAAAACTTTTAGAATGATGAGAGTCACGTAACAAATCCTGCAGTTACCATAGAGCTACCAAAAAAAGTTAGACGATGACGGTTAAAACATGGACAGATGATTAAAATATGATGGATAGTGAGTAAAACTTTAGAGGTGTTGCATTGGGGAGGAGGTTCCCCAAATAACAAATGTAGGTGGGTCAGCCGAGTGTGGCCGATTCAGAGACGGTTTAATTTTACATCTGCATGTCGCAGACTCAATACAGGATAAGGTTTAAAATCTGTTTTTATTGAATGCAACTTGTTATAAATTTTTAGATCCCATTGTTGTTGCCAAACAGATGTGATGAACTGTCGAATATAGGTTTTTGTGTCCGAGAAAGGTACAGATATAGTTAAAATAGAGGTAGCAGATCGTGCAGCCGAATCAGCCAAGTCGTTCCCTGGAATACCGACGTGACTCGGTATCCAACAGAATAAAATATGAAAACAAAACACTCATACTGTCGGGGTATATGCAATACTTCCTTGTAGAGCGAGTGGAAATTAGCCGCAGTGCCAAGAGGATGGCAGCAGCTTCGGCAGTAAAGACGAAGCAAATACTTGGGATTCTGTAGCTATAGGTATCATCAGCGATAATGACGCCACTGCCCACATAACCCGCAGATTTTGATCCGTCAGTAAACACAGGTACATACTCTGAATATTGGTCACGATGAGAAATGAATAGTTGCTGGTAGATAATGGGTGCAACATTAGATTTATTATACATCATAAAAGGGGAATAAAATTTATATGGTATAATGTTCCATGAAGGTATGAGAAGATAATCCACTGATTGCGATGGTGATTTGCAAATGTCAAAAGTTTGAATGAGTAAACGCATGCGAGCATGAAATGGATGGACGTGAGAAGATCTAGCTGCATGTAATCTCTCCAAGCTTGATGAAATTACATAATGCTTTAGTAGATGATATCTAGAGGACATGATACGAAAGTAATAACTGAGAGATAGCTTCATGCGATGTAAATCTAATGGTATTTGATTGCAGACAACGTATAAACTTTCAGCGGGGGATGTACGAAAAGCTCCCGAACAAATGCGAAGAGCTGAATGGTGTACTGTATCTAAGATACGTAGATTGGAAGCGGTTGCAGAGCCATAAACTGCACATGCATAGTCAAGCCGTGAGAGTATCAGCGTTTGATATTTGCATAGCAGGGCAAAGCGATCAGCTCCCCAAAATGTATTACACAGTACACGCAAAATGTTCAGTTTCTGTTCGCATTGTTTACGTAATTGCCTAATATGACGTATGAAAGTTAGCTTATTGTCGAAAATGACTCATAAAAATTTCGTGTGTGGCACGACTGGTATATTAATGTTTCGAATGGAGATGTCAGGGTCATTATAAGTCGCGCGTTTACGGCAGCAATGGATACAGCAATCTTTAGATGGTGAAAGAGTGTGACCATTCTGAACACACCAGTCTAATATCTTGTTCACTGCTAATTGTAGTCGTCGCTCGATGACTCTCATGTCAGATCCTGAACACGAGATGTGTAGATCATCGACATAGAGAGAGCCAGAGACAGTGGGGGGCAAGAAGTTTAAAGCTGGTGAAATATGTATGATGAATAATGTGACACTTAAAACGCTGCCTTGTGGGACGCCTTCCGCTTGAACGTAAAGATCAGAAAATATAGATACAAGTTTAACACGAAAATAGCGCCTCAGCAAGAAATTTTTGATGAAAATTGGCAAATGACCCCGGAGTCCAATGTCAAACAGTGTCTGGAAAATTTCATAACGCCAAGTCCGATCATATGCTTTCTCAATATCAAAAAAGACAGAGACAAGATGATTCCGGCGGACAAAGGCGTTACGAATTCTGGATTCCAGTTCAATAATATTGTCTAAAATTGACCGGCACTTACTTTGAAATATATACTTACTTATATACAGCCACTTTGAAAATCTGGTATGACACGCTTTTTTTCGATGTAATACACAAGTCAAGAGTTAACCATTCGCTCAAATGTTTTACTAAGGCAGCTGGTCAAGGCTATCGGGCGATAGTTGACAGGATCGTTAGCGTCTTTACCTGGTTTTAGAATAGGTATTACAATTGCTTCACGCCAGACAGATGGGCACGTTTGTTCGGTCCATATTCTGTTGAATAGAACAAGGACATTTGAAAAAGACGTCCGATCTAAGTGGCGGAGCATGTGATATGTAATACCATCAAAACCAGGGCTTGTATTTTTACTTCGATATAGGGCTCTTTGTAATTCGGCAAAACTAAAATCACTGTGATATTGGCAGAGACGACGCGATGCGAAGTTTATATTATTCCTTTCGACGGTTTGCTTATGGTGTTGAATTGCTGGGCTGTAACTCTCTGGACAAGAGACAGCCGCAAATGCATCACCAAGCATATTGCAAACGTCTGCAGGAGAAGAACACATGGTATCGTTTTTCTTAAATATCGGAAGTCGAAGTTCGCGATATATGCCATTAGCTTTCTTAACTCTCGACCAAACTTGCCTGGGAGATGTCGAAGATGTTATGGATGGGACATAACGGGACCAAGAGTCTCTTTGACTTTTGCGTCTGATCTTTCGAGCCATAGCTTTTGCCCGTTTAAAGGCCAAAAGGTTAACAGTATTGCGATAACGGCGGAAGATGTTCCATAAGCGTCTCTGCTCCTTGTAGGCAGCTGCGCATTCCTCATTCCACTACACCTTGCGGTGGCGTGGAAGCGAACTTGACGACTTAGGAATACTTTCTTCTGCCGCTTGGAGAATTACAGATATTATATTATTAATAGCAGCACCTATAGTATTGCGAGTTATCATATCTTCCGTAATCTGAGCAAGCATTGTAAATAGAGGCCAGTTAGCTCGATGAAATATGAAAGTTGATGGTCGTGAGCTCATGGGAACAGAAGTAAAATATGAAACAATGAGAGGAAAATAATCACTTTTGTGAAGATTATCACTCACTGAAAAGTTTATAAAAGGTAAGATAGCGGGTGAACATAATGCTAGATCAATGGAGTGAAAGGTTCGAGTAGGTGAATGAAAATAAGTTTCTTCGTCTTTATTAAGCAAACAGAG